CCATGCGCGGCGCGACGACCACCGGTCTTTAAAAGAAAAAATGAATAATGTTCAGCAGTCAGCTTAAAGCAAAGCCCAGACGTTCGTATGTAAAACGACGTCAGCTATTTCCGAATTAGAACATTTTATTATTGCCCACAAATATTTAATGTAACGGCAAATCAAGTCTACCCGGTGGTCACGCAACGGGTTTTTTCGCAAAATGCCATTTGGGATATCAACTTCCGGATCTTTGGTCATGGCGTTGAAGTCGTCATGTTTTCAAATATGCGTATATTTTTTATTATATAAATCACGGTTTACATGGCATGACGCGATATGTTAGGGCTTTTAGTGTGCCAATGAAACGACTTATTTGTGAATCAAACATTCTAGTCTTTTTGTCGTTAGTGTGCCAAAAATAGTATTATTTAGTGTTTTTATTATTTAATATTATTAGTGTTATTATATTCTGCCAGACTTGTAAACCATATAAATATTCGAATCATTTGTATAAAAAGACTCTGTACAAATCTGGCATGTATTATTTATTTATAAACAATTTTGAGAAATTTACATAAATCACGAAAACGTCCATTGTATACATATAATGTTATAATTATTGAGTGGCAATTATTTAGACATTTTGATGCTTACGCTTGTTGTTGTTTAGCAATAATATCGGAAATCTGTATTATTTACAAATAACAAGCTTGTTTAAATTTATTTATTTATAGATAATGTATTTTGCTGCATACTATGTAAATGATATAACACACCTTGATGATTATATGTGACACACAATAGTTTGTATATAATTTCCATAAATATGAATAAAGAGTATATAATACATTGATCCTTGGTTTGAAAATACATGCTGCATCACCGAGTGACATAAAATTCGAACATGCGCTGTTCGACGACCACCGCCCTTTAACGGCATAGGACAACTGAATCACAATTCCTCTTCCATATATTCAATGGCGTAATTTAATTTAAAATCGATGTAAAGAATGTTTCTCGCAGTTGCATAAAATTCACTGCTTCTTTAAACTTTGCTGATCTTTTATCATGCTGAAAGTGTTGGGTTTCACAATGTAGGCACATTATGTTATTCTTGCCATTTGCCTTTATTTGTATGCATAACAAATGCAACATAATTACTCGTTAAAACACTCGTTCTGATTTAATAATTAATGTAAATGCATAAAGTTTAATATGTTAATAATATATACTGGATTTTAAATTCGCGAATTTGCTTATGAGTTCTTAGTAATGGCTCATGGGTTTAAAATTAG